TACACTAACATATTAGGACAGGGGTGGGCAAAAGGCCCTCCACGGGCCAGATTCGGCCTGCTCAGAGGGCTGATCCAGCCCACAGATGTCCTGCCACTTCTCCACCCCCACACCAATCATGACCTAGGAATGGGGGAGTACCTGGCAGTTGACTAAGCACCAGAAGCTGGAGGGGAGGGGAGGGAGCGGGAGATTTTGTGTTCCCCGCCACCTCCAGGCCAATCAGGGCCTGGGGATGGGGGAGAAGTTCATGAAGTCTCCTCCCACCCTGCCCTGCAAGGAGTGGGCAGCGCCTCCTGCCCTGCAAGAGGTTCGGCACTTAAGATTAAACTGCCAGCTTGGCAGGTGACTACGTGTGGCACTACCTTTCAGGGCAGGGGCAGACTTTGTATGCTCCCCTTGCCCCCAACTCCTGATTGACCTGGGGGTGGGGTGGGAAGTACGTGAAGTCTCCCACAGCCAGGCGCACTGGTGCCTAGAGGGAACAGCCAGCTGTTCAGACCAGGGAGGGGGACAAAGACTTCACATGCTCCCCCACCCACAGACCAATCAGTGTCAAGGGCGGGGAAGCACACGAGTGTCCTGGCCCCGTCCCTTTCCAGGGCAACCTGGGACCACTTCAGAATTTTTTTTTGAAGTGGGCCCTAGTCAAAAATTATTGCCCATCTGTATATTAGAGCATATTCTGTTAAATTACAGAAAGCTACACAACATATACAATCAGTCCCTGAAAGCATGAGACAATTTCACCCTTTTTGATTGCAGGGCCCTGAAGTAGCAGCAAATTAGAATTGTACCCAAATAATGCACATCCTTGGCACAAAGATCTGATTAGGATGGGAGACAACCATTCTCAATCTTAATCTCAACTCAAGTTTCCCTTCAGCCTACACAGCTTTGCTATCAATTCACTTTAATTGTGAATTTGCATCAAAACAGCAAAATCATTGAACCAGACACCGTGGGAGTTTTGACTGAATCACCAATGTAGGATAGGGCCTGAATGTAAAAGGATAGACTGGAAGAAGAGAGAAACTATCTTTTTGTAGGTTAGAGATTTTTCTTACAGAGTGAGCTAAGAGGGCAACTATTCAGAGTAAAGACAGGTTTTCTTCATTATGGAAACTAGGGGACAATACCCACGGAACAAGAATTTACGACATCTCTACAGGAGAATCAGAGAAGACATGGAGAGAGGTTTTACAAAATTCCAGCATAGGTGGCTCTCTCCTCAGGTGGAAGGGGAAGTATACACGAGGAAATCCCCTCAGCAGAAGGAGTACACAAGTATCTCCTCATAGAGGAACGGGATAGAACATGCAGAATTCTCTTTACAATGAGGCATCGATTTCTGGGGACTGTGGAAATGCATCAGGACTCTATGGAAGGGAATGTTTGGCAATTACTTTAGAATTTGATTTGAAAAAGGAGCAGTGTCAGGCTACTCATAAGTAACCTCCACTCAGGGGCAGATGACTGTTTTGCGGGGCCCCGGGCAGCATAACTCCGCGGAGCCCCCCCCTTTGCCACGGTGCATGCGCCGCGACACCATGCGCATGCGCAGTGGTGCCACAGCGCCTGCCCGGGACTTTTTTAAGCGCGGGGCCCGGGGCAGCCGCCCCGTTCGCCCTGCCGTATATCCGCCCCTGCCTCCACTCACAAATACTGAATCAGGGCTTTTCTACTTTGACAAGGGGCTGTCAGTGACACCATGGATCACAGCATCTTTAAAAGAGACCAAGATGGATCGCCTAATGGTCTGAGTCTAATGCACTAAACTGTGTCTCACAAGATCTAGTCACAGCTCTACCACAGATTTAAGGTTGTATCAGTATCTAGACAGATAATATTAACTTATCTCATGGGGCTGTGGCAAGAGTAGTTCTTTTCAATTAGTGAAATGCGCAGATATTATGGCGATAAATGACACAGAAAAGCCTGTGAATAACAACCTAATTCTCCCTGCCCTCATTGTGTAATAGCACTGACAAAGTTGTTTGGATATTTTCCTGATGGCTGTTCAGGTAATAGGAGGAAGTGGAAGGGAAGGCAAAAACCTCTAATGATGACATATATTAGATAGAGAGTAACATTTTCAAAAGTATCGAAGTGACTTAAGAGCCTAAGTCCCATTTTCAAAAATAACTTATGCCAGTGGGAGCCAAGAGGTCAAATTCTAATGCTAGTCAATAGGAGCCAATGCCGTTTCTGAAAATGGAACAGGCTCCAAGTTTTGGGTAACATTTTCAAAAGTGCTTAACAAAACTCCCCAATTACTACAGCACATATCTGCAGGACAGAGCTAAAAATCATCAAAACGATTAGAAGGCTCAAAGGAATAGGTCTGTACAACCTTTCCCCACTCAAAAGTTACGTTTATTTGGCCTAATCACCTTATTTTTGTGGTTTCTAATTGGAAACAGAATAAGTTTCCTGGCATTAAAGTATCTTACTCTACAAATACAATGCTTGCCAACTACCTCACACAAGTACCATTAATCTTGGTTTTATTTGGCTCAGCCCCTGACTGCACCCCTCAGCCAAAATGATAAACCACTCAAACATACATATCAAGAACCCTTGCTGTAACCCTGGCTAATGCATCATCTTTTTGTGGCCAGTCATAGCAACAGAACCCCAGCAGGATGGAACCTTGCCTCCACCCAGATCGAGTCTAGGTTTGAGATCTCATCGAAGGCAATTCCTTAATGCAATTTGTTTTTCCATAGACAGCAATAGATTATCTAAGACAAGCCCTAATGGAAAACTCTGTATCAGAAAACCATCTACATTAATCATTGCCCAATTTAAATCTGGGGTAGGAGTCATGTTCTCTTAAGGAAGTAAAAGAACGACTGTTTACAAGTGAGCGCACAGAACAATTCCCAGACAGGAAAAAAACGTGTGTACAGTTTTTACAAAAAAAAAAGAAAGTTAAAAATGATAAGCAGTTAAACTATTAGGAAACAGTTGTGTAAAAAAAAGGGGGAGGGGCAAAAAAGCTGTTCTTATAAACATTTTAATGCATCAAGAGATAAAAGCTCCATTCTGGAGCAGAGTTTACTGAATTTTACTCTAGAATACATATTTGAGAAAGAAAGCAGAAACTCAAGCAAAAATACAGTTAAGATAACCATCAGTCAGTCAGTAATCAGTCTCTAAATCTTCAGAAGCACATTTATGAGTTAAGAAACTTCTCCCACATATGTGGGGAAGACCTTATAGTGCAACATTGGTAAAACAATGAGTCAAAATGTGCTTCCCTTTGAGTAGGTGTCATCTATCCTCCCACAAAACGTCTGCCAGATAATCACTGTAATTTATTTATCATGCAGAGAAGCACATTTAAGTTGAAATGAGATATTTGTAAAAATGAAGATAGAAAAATAAAGGCATGTTTCAGACAAGTACGCAAGAGGATTTAGCACACACATTTCTGTGTATCACCTGCATATGCCACACGATTCACAATCCATATATATTTCAACTCAATTGACTATAACTTGTGAAAACACTTGGTTTTTCTTTGGGAAAAAGGAAGACTTTCAACAGCTTAATTAACATTTTTTAAAACTGATTTATTCACAGGGCTGCAAAAGGCCCTGAACAGCATGTAATTAGTTATGAGTGCAAAGGCCAGAGGGAGGGAGTGGGAAAACTGAAGGCTATCTATGAGCCTACTAATTTCTACTGACCTCTGGAGACTTCCTTAGTACACAGTACAAGCTGCATATGGGAGAAGATTATTAAGCCTTTTCACGTGAACAATTAACGGCCATACCAAAAAAAAAAAAAAAAACCACCACACACACCATACATACATTCTCAAGTACTTAGAATACAATTTTGTATATCAAAATGTAACTAACCTGTCATAACTAAAATACAAAGTACTATAAGGCTATTAATACAATACTGCCACAGTTCTCAAGTATACTGGAGCAAGTTTATCCCTAGTGTAACCCTAATCCCTCCCTTCATTCAAGAAAGTCAAAAATATTCAGAGCATGTCAACACTTGAACGCTGTTGTGGGTTTTGCTGTTCTGGACCACTTAACACAGACAAGCTGTTGTGTGAGCAGTGCATTCACAACACACTGTTATCACCCAGTTAAATTATCTCCCTTTGAAATCAGTGCATCTACAAGACCCTGCACTATTTTAAATTAAGTGCTCAGCATTCTAGGCAGATACCCCACTATACAATGACCTGTCTGCATTCTGGGATTTCTCTCACCACCTCTTAAGGGTTCGGCCAATAAGCATTGACTGCTGGGATAGGGAGAACAAGAGTCCTGTGAAAGAAAGTAAAAGGGTACTCCCAGAATGCACTGTGATCTTTGTCATTTGCTGGAAAGGACTTCTGAGCAAAGAGCATGTTCCCTGGAGTTGAAGTGAAGGGTGTATCCTGGCAAACAGTGTTCCAAGGGCTACAGAAACCGGGTAGGCTGGGGTGGAATCCTTCAACATAACATCTCCATATTCTCTGCTAGCGTCATCTGCCTCTCCACCCTCCTCAGCAACTGTGCCTGTGAAATACTAGCCAGTGCCCTGTCCTTTTTCTCTGTTGTATCCAGCTTAAGAAAACTCTCTCTCAACTCCTCTGTCTTTTTCCCCTCACTCTGCAGGGATGCAGACATAAGATTGACGTACCAATCCTTGTCCTTTTTCTCTTCATATGCACACTGGTCAGGTATTCACACACAGCTAGTACCCCTATCTAAATGGAAATGGAAGGGAGGGAGACAAAGAAAATGAGTTCTTGTCCGAATTGTACTCTACACAAAAGTGATAAAATGCTGCTTTTTCCTGATTTTGGAATACCCTTCCAAAGTTCATCCCATGTCTTCAGTGAGCTTGGAGATTGCAAGATGTTTTCAAAAACATTCTTCCCTGGTTGTATAAGGAGAGCTGGACCAGTGGTGATGAGGGGTAAATGAAGGATGAGTTAGCACATCTGGAGAGCAATTTACTAATTGCATATTTGTGTTCTTACCTAGGCTGCCAGTGCTAGGGCAGAGAGGAAGACAGGCCAGCTAGGAAAGGCCAACAGTTGCACTTGTCCCTCTACATGGGCGATGCTAACAGAGCTGAGCCGCTGTGCAGTCAGCATGCCAATACAGAGCACTACGTTCTCTCTAACACCCAAGGATCAGCATACAATGAATCACAAAATAAAAATGATTCTTCCGTAATCAAAAGAGAGGTATGCATGAACACCTTAAAATCCCTTTCCTTTTTGAAAAGTCTAACATGGAGTTGGATGCGTTACCTCAAGAGAACTGAAGTTTGCTCAAAGCTGAAGGAAGGCATTAATAAAACTGAGTCAGAAAAGCATTTTTCTTTCCTGTATCTGCTCCTACAAGGAATGCTTTCCTTTCAAACCTCTCATTTTTAATCCTTATGATAATGCTCTCTTGTACAGGTGGAAGAGGTGGGCTATTCACAGAAGAGAGATGGAGCAATAAGCACCACTGTAAATGCTGTTGAAATGGGACCTGGAAAGGTTGAATGGTGGCCGTATGTTTGTGTATTTCAGAGAAAGGAACAGTACAGAGCATATAAACTCAGAGAACCCCCATTTTAGCATCAGGCATGAAGATTAAAAGTGGAGGTGGTGGAGGGAGACTAGCCCCATAGGGTAGAACCCTGATGGTACCCAAGTTGTTTAAATATAGCACATCATATTTATTACACAAGTTGGTTTCTACTAAGATTCAGGTTGGTCCTCTGAGCATAATTTTTGGGAAGAGGTCTTCTGAGTCTCTGGCACTGCATCAATGAGATCTTGGATTTTAGGATGAATCCTCTCTGGATCTGCATCTGCAAGTGTATCCTCAATAGAGTCCATGATGTGCTGTGGTTCAGTAGTGATATCTCTGTCAAAAATATGGTCCAGCATGGTAGCTGCAGAGCACACAAACCCTTCCAGAGATCTTATTGTCCCTAATACTCCTTCAGTCCCCACTCGTGCCATTCCTACTGCAGGCACTTCTGCTTTTGAAATGTCACAGGGAGCATGGGATGAGCAGGGACTCAAGCAGTTTCCTCCTCCCCCCGTGCTCACTGTGGGGACAGGAGCCGATGCTGGGAGGGGGGACAGAGTATTGGGGATGCTGCTGCAAAGCAGCACCTGTCCACAGGGGTCCCAATGGGGAGCTGCCTCCCTCCCCTGTGGACAGGGGCTGATGTCACCAAGCAACCTTTGTTCGTGACAACCAAGGCTGTCCACCACGAACAGGGGCTGCTATTCTCAGTGCAAGCCAGGACCGAGCAGTCCCAGCTAGTGCTGATCACTGCACCTCTGCATTTTAAATGTAGTAAGAGCCCAGCAGCAGGTGTCTCCAAAGGCAGCAAGAGCTCATTCCTGGCTGGAGTCAGCTCCTGGAGCTACCCCCCCACTGCAGCTCTACACAGTGGCGCTTATCCACTAATTGTATAGTCAATACAAATTGTATTGACTATACTATTAGCCAGATAATGAGATTTTAACATGCTTAAAGAAAGCCCTGCTTTTTTAGCAAATACATGGCATGAGGTAAGAATGTTGGACATGACAAAAGTCTTTATTGCTCCTGGTGCACACAAAGATCCCACCTGTTTTCAATGGGAAATGTATAGGCATGCGGAAAACAGAGCTTAAGCGTTAAATGACTTTCTATTTTTTCCTCATCATCATAAAAATTACATTGCCCCCACTCCCTTTGCCCACAGAAAAACAACCTATGTATGTTAGTCCTAAATTTAACCATCTTCATCTCATGACCTTCAGATAAGCCATTCTCCTGGAATCTAAACCAGTCTTTCAAGGTCACAGAAGCACCCACTTAAAATGGGATTCCTCTCTCAGTTGAATTTTTTTCCATATCTTGTGACATACTGTTATAATTACACAAAAGCCAATTTGGGTCACCAGTATAACTTAAGTTAGACACTTACAACTAAGAAACACTTTTATTGAAGTGAATGAATTTAGGCAATGTCAAAAAAAATTCAAAACAGTTCATTTAGAAGTAGCAGTCACACCTGTAAAACAATACTGATATATCAGTTTCGCAAGACAAAACAATTTAATTCATTATAAATGCTATCAAACTAGCATACAACGTACTAATTACAAAAGTTTCTCTCTCAGGACTATAAAAGTCCACTCCGGTGAACTTTACAAATCAGAGACGCTGCACGCAGCAAAACACAAGACCCTTGCAAAACAACACCACATGATTAATTTAAAATTTTGCTTATTTCCCCCAAGAGAAAAAAAAAGAAGAAATTTTGGGATGGAAAAGAGACCAAGAAACTACTCCAATGTCCATATCTCAAAGGACTTTTGAGAGTTGTGTTCATATGTTTCAGTTAGGCCAGAAACAGAGAAATTGCTACTGTTTCAATGCTGCTCTACCACACAACCATCACTTCTGATGGCTTTCCATGGTTATGGAATAAAAGCAATTTCCACTTTACTGCTTCTTAATAGATTAAAGTAGGCTTAGCTACAAATGTACTACTAATGCTGTTAAAAGCTAGTGTACGTTTAATCTTCATACATATTAGTGCTATGGAAGAAATAATCCCATATTTACTGTATACAGACAGCTTTCAGCATTACAGGTCAATATCAAAACACACTAAAGATATTTCTAATCTGCAGCCCACAGAAATTGTGTGTACTCTGGTTAGGTTATATGCACCTAGATAACCTATTTAAGTTAAATATTTATTTGGCAACCAAATTATTAAATAAAACATTATAAAAGTACTAGAAAAATATTTGTAAAAGCTCCATTGATTTCAATTTTTTCCAAGCCTTTGCCAGTTGGCTGCACCAAGTTTCACTAACCTATACTAATAAACAGTAAGGGATGAATGTAGCAAACATGTGACCATCAAATATATATCTGTTTAGCAAGTACCTCAGAATAAAATAATAAGCAGACTACTGTAGGGACCAAAATGGAAAATCATTTCTGTTTGACATTTGATAAAATAAGCAAACAATGGTCAAGGACATTAACAATTCCATGAAATATGAATGGTGAGCTTTCATATCTAAAAATATTCCCTTCAATAGCAAAAGTCTTAGGGCAATCTTAAATAGTGAGCATGGTTTTGAGGGAGCTACAGTTCCCTGGTGACATGCAGGGGAAATTCTGACAACTTCAGCTCTAACACTGTAAGGGTGTGTCTAGACTACAGGGTTTTGTCAACAAAAGTGGATTTTGTCAACAAAACTATACCTGCGTCTACGCTACTGCCAAGTTCTGTCGACAGTAAGTCAACAGAACCTGGCAGTTTTGACGACAGCGGTAAACCTCATTCTACAAAGAATAATGCCTTTTTTCGACAGAGTTATGCCGAAAATAGGCGTTACTCCATCCACACTGTGCTTTTTCAAATAGAGCATCTAGACTGTCGAAAAAGCAGCTCGCTTTGTCGACAGAACTGGCTGTAGTCTAGATGCTCTTTTTCGACAGAGGCTTTGTTGACAGTACCTGTCAACAAAGCCTCTGTCGATAAAAGCCTGTAGTCTAGACGTACCCTAAAAGTTTGTTCATACTATTGCTCAGGTTGAATACATTTAATAATTGATTGTAAATGCCTGAATGCTAACTATGAAACATTTTTAAGTAGCAATTTCACTTATGCGTCTTAGGCAAACCGTAGAATTTGAACTAAGTTGAACTTTGGCACAATTTACACAGGCACAACTCTCATTGAAATCAGTGGTCAATATGCCAGCTATGCCACGGCTGAATTTAGTCTGCAGAAATAAAATAAACGTTTTTAAAAAGCACAACAAGCTAAAGCACCATGGTTTTACAATGTGGTTTACAATTTACCTTTGAAGAAACACTATTAGAAGTACAAACCCCAAATTTAACTAATTGCAATTAGAAGAGCCTACATGAATACAATGTTTGGTGTTCCCCCTGCTGGTTTTGCAATTAACTTAAACACTTCCTCAGAGCTGGGTATCACTTGATAATATTGATGTTTAAAGGATGTTTTGGCATGACAAGGAAATGGGAAAGGAAAAAAAAAAAGATTAGAGCTGTTCAACTTAGAAAGCAGGTGACTAAGGGAAGCGATATGATAGAAATCTATAAAGTCATGAATGGTATGAAGAAAGTGAATAGAGAATTGTTATTTACCCTTTCACACAACAGCAGAGCTAGAGGTCACCAAGTAAAATTAACTGGCAGCACATTTAATAGAAACAAGAGCAAGTGTGGGGAAAGTACAATGCAGAAACGTATCACCATGGGAATGTTTTGATGGCCAAAAGTATAATAGGTTAAAAAAAACCAGGATAAGATCATGAAGGACAGGTCTATTAATGGCTATAAGCCAAGATGATCAGGGACACAACCCCTATGATCCAGACTATGACTACCAGAAATGGATCACTCCACAACTGTCCTATTCTGTACACTCCCTTGAAGCTCTGCTATGGGCCATCAGAGATAGGATACTAGGAAAGATGAACTATAGGGTAGCCCACTGTGTAGTCCTTAGGTTCTTATGATGCTAAAGTTATGTTTGTTAAAAGAAAAAAAGAATGATTATGTACATAGAAACGTATTTTTAAATTGTCTGACTATCTGAAGTTCTGTATATACGTCCAAAAGCTAAATAAGAAGATAAAAGAGTCCTAGTTGGGAGGGGATTCACGTATCACACATTTAACACCACTTTCCCAGAAAAAGCCTGAGAGGAGACTGAAGTGTGACCACAAGACTAGCAAATTTGGGTTTAAGCAAACAACTAAGGGAAGCAAATTCCAGAACTGAAATCATACAAGTGTATTGCTGGAAGGGACCTCAAGAGATCATCATCAAGTCTAGATGCTATATCTTCACTGAAACAAACAGCCTAACTCCAAACCCCTCCTGATTAAACCAAGGAGTTTTTAGTTCATACAACTCAGCAGATTTCAAGAGCTGCAGTATCTTCCAGAAAGAGAGTCAAACTCTCTGGTAGCCAGGATCCAACCCATCTACAATTTAAAAGGTTAAGTGAAAGTTGTTCTAAAAAAAATGTATTTTTCCACGAAAACTTGTTCTGAGAATATTTTTACAAGTTTTCTATACAGCTCTAATTAAAACCAATCAGTATCAGGAATTCAGGAGGAACACTGGAGTAAGGTGCTTTTTGCAGAAAGTGCTACTAAAGAAATGAGTGTGTACATGCACACACACCCCCACAGTGAGTGTGTACACACACACACACAGCGCTGGTTGTAGTCACTGGGTAATTCAACTTCTAAGATATGTGCTTCCTAAAAGCAATCCTGGGTATTGCTGCTATGGGAGCCTTCCAACTCATAGTCTAATCAGACCCTGGGGCTAGGGACATTAGTAACAAAAAGTGGGCACACTTCCTCAATCAAGGGACCAATTGTCATCTCCAGCATTTCTTCTGCTATTTACACAGTCAGTTAGCATTTCCTGATCTTATCTAGCTTGAGTTTCAGCCAGCTTGTCCTCATATCCAAGCCTCAGCACTAGCCAGAAAGGTAAATATAGTTGGAGGTGAGGTGAGTACTTATTACTGAGTAGGAGGGAGGGGAATTATCTAGTTTAATTTTATTAAACAACAGATTGCAATGGTTATCTGGAGGCAAGAAAAGTGTCATATCAAAATACTTTCTAGTAAAAGTTAATTATATTTATGCCTACTGGAAAATAAAATTATACACAGAAAAGTGTAAATGAATTAATAATCATTACTTATAGAGCTAAAGGCATTGAAATAATGTCATTTTGATAAACATAATAGCATTTACCGTGGAAAGTAAATTCAAGGACAAAAAGGGAAAATGGCATTGTGTACACCTCTATGCCTCAACTAATACTTGAAACACCCTTAATATCTAAAAAGCGAGCCAGATGTTTGCTATTTTGAGAACAACCACAACCATTCTTAAGGCTGATCAATTTCAAGTGACATAACTTTGCAACTATATGTGAAGCTGAAATTGTGAAAGGTTCGATAACTTTTTCACTTGCATTTAACTGTCCTTTAATTGGCCATATGACTTTCTTTGTTGTTATTTATGCAAGTAATATACAATTACAAATCTGGCTGAACTGCAGTACTTCCAAGGCAAAATATATGCAGCAATAAATCCCACATGTCAACATCTTTTTTCTGGAGCACATCAATGAAATTCTACCAAAATAACACACCACTGGTATTTGTTTTATCTTCCATTACACTAAACATTGCGAAATTATACACTGCAATTCTACACTAGAAAGTTCATAAGCCAAACTCACTGCTGGCATGATGAAGCGCCGGTTTATATCAGTCGTGAATTTGACTTGATGCCTTTATATAATCACTCATTTACTCTAACTTCTGTAGCTTTCTTGAACAGGCAGGATCTGTAAAACAAAGGAATTTGCACTAGTACACCTGTCACCTGCAGGTGACTAAGGGAAGCGATATGATAGAAATCTATAAAGTCATGAATGGTATGAAGAAAGTGAATAGAGAATTGTTATTTACCCTTTCACACAACAGCAGAGCTAGAGGTCACCAAGTAAAATTAACTGGCAGCACATTTAATAGAAACAAGAGCAAGTGTGGGGAAAGTACAATGCAGAAACGTATCACCATGGGAATGTTTTGATGGCCAAAAGTATAATAGGTTAAAAAAAACCAGGATAAGATCATGAAGGACAGGTCTATTAATGGCTATAAGCCAAGATGATCAGGGACACAACCCCTATGATCCAGACTATGACTACCAGAAATGGATCACTCCACAACTGTCCTATTCTGTACACTCCCTTGAAGCTCTGCTATGGGCCATCAGAGATAGGATACTAGGAAAGATGAACTATAGGGTAGCCCACTGTGTAGTCCTTAGGTTCTTATGATGCTAAAGTTATGTTTGTTAAAAGAAAAAAAGAATGATTATGTACATAGAAACGTATTTTTAAATTGTCTGACTATCTGAAGTTCTGTATATACGTCCAAAAGCTAAATAAGAAGATAAAAGAGTCCTAGTTGGGAGGGGATTCACGTATCACACATTTAACACCACTTTCCCAGAAAAAGCCTGAGAGGAGACTGAAGTGTGACCACAAGACTAGCAAATTTGGGTTTAAGCAAACAACTAAGGGAAGCAAATTCCAGAACTGAAATCATACAAGTGTATTGCTGGAAGGGACCTCAAGAGATCATCATCAAGTCTAGATGCTATATCTTCACTGAAACAAACAGCCTAACTCCAAACCCCTCCTGATTAAACCAAGGAGTTTTTAGTTCATACAACTCAGCAGATTTCAAGAGCTGCAGTATCTTCCAGAAAGAGAGTCAAACTCTCTGGTAGCCAGGATCCAACCCATCTACAATTTAAAAGGTTAAGTGAAAGTTGTTCTAAAAAAAATGTATTTTTCCACGAAAACTTGTTCTGAGAATATTTTTACAAGTTTTCTATACAGCTCTAATTAAAACCAATCAGTATCAGGAATTCAGGAGGAACACTGGAGTAAGGTGCTTTTTGCAGAAAGTGCTACTAAAGAAATGAGTGTGTACATGCACACACACCCCCACAGTGAGTGTGTACACACACACACACAGCGCTGGTTGTAGTCACTGGGTAATTCAACTTCTAAGATATGTGCTTCCTAAAAGCAATCCTGGGTATTGCTGCTATGGGAGCCTTCCAACTCATAGTCTAATCAGACCCTGGGGCTAGGGACATTAGTAACAAAAAGTGGGCACACTTCCTCAATCAAGGGACCAATTGTCATCTCCAGCATTTCTTCTGCTATTTACACAGTCAGTTAGCATTTCCTGATCTTATCTAGCTTGAGTTTCAGCCAGCTTGTCCTCATATCCAAGCCTCAGCACTAGCCAGAAAGGTAAATATAGTTGGAGGTGAGGTGAGTACTTATTACTGAGTAGGAGGGAGGGGAATTATCTAGTTTAATTTTATTAAACAACAGATTGCAATGGTTATCTGGAGGCAAGAAAAGTGTCATATCAAAATACTTTCTAGTAAAAGTTAATTATATTTATGCCTACTGGAAAATAAAATTATACACAGAAAAGTGTAAATGAATTAATAATCATTACTTATAGAGCTAAAGGCATTGAAATAATGTCATTTTGATAAACATAATAGCATTTACCGTGGAAAGTAAATTCAAGGACAAAAAGGGAAAATGGCATTGTGTACACCTCTATGCCTCAACTAATACTTGAAACACCCTTAATATCTAAAAAGCGAGCCAGATGTTTGCTATTTTGAGAACAACCACAACCATTCTTAAGGCTGATCAATTTCAAGTGACATAACTTTGCAACTATATGTGAAGCTGAAATTGTGAAAGGTTCGATAACTTTTTCACTTGCATTTAACTGTCCTTTAATTGGCCATATGACTTTCTTTGTTGTTATTTATGCAAGTAATATACAATTACAAATCTGGCTGAACTGCAGTACTTCCAAGGCAAAATATATGCAGCAATAAATCCCACATGTCAACATCTTTTTTCTGGAGCACATCAATGAAATTCTACCAAAATAACACACCACTGGTATTTGTTTTATCTTCCATTACACTAAACATTGCGAAATTATACACTGCAATTCTACACTAGAAAGTTCATAAGCCAAACTCACTGCTGGCATGATGAAGCGCCGGTTTATATCAGTCGTGAATTTGACTTGATGCCTTTATATAATCACTCATTTACTCTAACTTCTGTAGCTTTCTTGAACAGGCAGGATCTGTAAAACAAAGGAATTTGCACTAGTACACCTGTCACCTTCAATAGGAAAACTACCTGCCTCACAGCTCCATTTTTTTTCCAAATACAGTGCTTTTCACTTGTAAACATTCCCCCATCTACAGCATCTTTGATTCTTTACAAACATTAATGAATTGATCTATATCCCACACATGTGGTGGACATCCTATGCCACCCAGCTGGTGACCATTCCTATCATCTTTTTATCTATGGGGGAGGGGGGGAAGAGAAGCACAAAAAAGTAAAATGCTTTCTCCAAATCATTAAGTTACCTCACTGAACTGTAAACAAATCCCAGATAATGCTAAAAAAATAATAAAAAATCTCTACCACCAAACACCAAGACCCATGTTTGTGGTAAATAATCATATAAGGCCGCTAATTTGCTCTTTTATGTTGATGCCTTCACATTAAAATCAATAGGATGCCCCCGGGGTGAGAATTCAGCTCCTATTGCTTAAAAGGTAATTGTTGTTTACTAAATATCCACCCTTACCAAGAATCAGAAACAGCCCTGGTCAACACACCATGCCAATAATAATAGTAATGTTTGCACAATAGCAAAGAATGTTAACAGAAGACAATATGCTCCAACTAAAGCCAGTCATCATTGTCTTGAGTTCACAGTCTCCACAGAAAACGTCAAGGGGGCCAACTTAAATGTCAGAGGATAACATCCTGCCAGTACTGACCCCAGTGCATCCATCCCAACGAAGTCAGTTCGCTCTGAGGGAAGACAGCGCGAGAGGGGAGGGAACGGAGGCGAGTCTGTGAACCCTGGGACTCTCCTGCGTGGCCCCGACACAAGTGCGGAGCCACTGAAGAGCCACCCAACTCCAAAGCAGACAGACAGACAGACGCGCGCTTGCGGGGACCCTCCCCAGTGCTGCGCGCCGCGTTACTTCCGCCCCCGCGGGGGGAGATGCCGCGCAGCAGGGCATCCCTGAGCGGCTCCCAGCGCAGGGCTCGCCCGGGCTAAACCCGCCCCACTGGCGAGCTCGCTCCGCCGCTCCAACGCCTTGCAGCGCATCCACACCCCCGATCGGAGCGGGGGCACGGCCGGAGCCCCCGCGCGCAGCAGCAGCAGCGGGGCCAGGAAAGTGGGGAGCAGCCCCTGCGCGGCCGACACCCCCCCGGACGCAGGATACCCTGCAGCCACCCCCGGGCAGGGCTGCAGCTCGCCCGGACCTACCTCCACCCGGGACGCCCCGCAGCAGCCACTGCCGAGAAAACGGACAAGAACTTTCCCTGCGCGCCGCCGGGCAGCCCAGCTACGCCATCCGGAGCCAGCTGCCCCGGGCCGCAGCGGGAGCCGCTCCGAGGGGCCCCGAACGCGAGGAGGAGAGAAGCACCCAGCCGCGCCGCCACAAACCTGCGCTTCACCCCATGGGGCTGCGAGCCGCTCGGAGCAACACGCACCCGGGCGGGGCCTGCTGCTCGGCCGCGTCAATCAGCGCCCAGCGGCCCTGCTATTGGAGACGGGGCGGGGCCTGCGCTGGGATGGAGACTCCGCCTCCCTCCGGCCCGTTTGCTGCCCCAGCTGAGAGCTGCGCCCCGAGCGCTTCTTCGCCCGGTTTCCTTGCCCGCGGGGGGGAGCGTTTCCTCGCAGCCGCCGAGTGCGGAGCTGGGAGATTGGCTTCACCGAGAGGTCTCGCCCCTCTCCTCAGCGGGACATTCGGGCCACAGGCAGCCCTTGCACGTTTTAGTTTGGTGTAGCCAAGACATCTGCACGTTATGCAACATTCCAGGTCAGTTTTTCCAAGTCACAGTTGGGCTAGTTTAACTTGGGCTTTTCAGGATCTGGTTAAAAGTTTGGCAGGTCTAGCCAATGTTGGGGCCCAACCTTCCTAATTCTTCCTGTGAATAATGGACAGGGGTACATGTAGTAGGCACTCCTTTGACATTAGCAAACAAACAAACAAACAAAACGCTAGTCATATTGCTGTAGGTAGTGGATCTTCCTGGATCTAGCCCATTTTTGGTTGTAGTCTCTCAACTTCTAGTAACTATTCAGATAATATTACAAGTCTTGTTGCATCTTATAAATCTGGAGCTTGCCATGCCTCTGAACAACAGTGCCACCAAAAAAATTCAGCATCTGGATCCTGATGTATTCTGATGCATAGTACCATCAAAAGACGTTTGTCCAATGTACATAGCAGACGGACACTTTCGTCTCAGACACTTCGCCAAAGGATCAATGCCCACAAAACAGATATTAGACAGGATCACAAAGAAAAAACAGTTTCTTGCCATTTCAACCAGAAAGGACACTGTCTCAACGACTTAATTACCTGCATCCTACTCCAGAAGCCTTTCAAATCTGCACTTGAAAGGGAATCCTCTGAACTGTCATTCATGCTAAGAATCGACACTCTATGTGTCAGGCTCAACAAAGACACCAACTACCTTACCCATTACGAAGATATCTTCCCCAATTATCACTTCTAATATCATTAGCTCACAGACATTTACCTTCCTCCCCTCCCCTGCATCCCCCTTCTGTTCTTAAATGTGATTTGTCCTTTTCATATGTGTTCACTTTTTTTTTATTGTATCCTTTTGTATATATGGTTGTGACTATTTTCTTCCACTATTTGATCTGAGGAAGTGGGTCTGGCCCACAAAAGCTCATCATCTATT